ATGTGGGTGCAGGGGCCAAAGCACTCAGGCCATCCTCTGCTGCGTTCCCAGGCCCATAAGCAGGGAGTTGGATCAGAAGTGGAGCAGCCGAGACTCAAACTGGTACTCACGTGAGAGGCCGGTGTCACAGGCGGACACTTAACCTGCTGTGCCACAGAGCCGGCCCTGGGCTTTCTGAAGCCAGAGATGGTCCTGGACAAACCAGGTTGAGTTGCTCACCCCACCAGGCATCCTGTAAGGTAGGGGATATGGACCCCGTGAAGCCCCTAAGGGCCCCCAGTATGATGTCACGGCAACAGTCTCCCCCTAAACCCCCAAGGACCTCATAGCATTACCACTGTCCAGGGCCGTTTTGAGGATGAGCTCTGGCCCGAGTGGGGAACACAGACCATACTTCTATCTCTTGTCTTCTAGATTGAAACCCTTCAGCTTTTGTTATAATGTTATTTGCAATTGAAGCAAAAACAGGATCCTGGTATGAACTGAGATTTTGAGACATCTGAAGTGGACAACCTGTTCTCTTTAACTTGCGTTGAATGCAAATTTCAGTTCCTAAAAACCCCCAAATAAGGAAGGAAATTTGATTTATCTCTCTCTTTTTTTTTTTGCCCCCCACAAAATGCAAAATGTTGAGCTGGTAATGAAAACGCTGATTGGATAGATCGCATCGCGGGCTCAGGGCGACACAGCAGCAGCCTACGTGGCTGTTGGATCTTGTTGTGGAGTTGGGGTCTGGTGCCACTTCGCACACCCCGCACCACCTCTGCTGTCCTGCTCCCGCAGGAAGCAGGGCCCGTACACCCCAGGTTTTCAGAGGAGAAAAGTCAGACTGGTTCAGTGGCCTGAGGCCAGGCTCCTGGGCAGGGGCTTTTGGGGGCCGGAGAGCTGAGTTATTGTTCTTGGTGGACTACAAAGAACCTTCACCTCTGGGAGGAAGAGGAGGAGCAGCAGCGGAGTGATAGTAACAGTGATAGTAACAATGCCTTTGTGTTTTGTTTTGTTTTGTTTTGACAGGCAGAGTGGACAGTGAGAGAGAGAGACAGAGAGAAAGGTCTTCCTTTGCCGTTGGTTCACCCTCCAATGGCCGCCGCGGCCAGTGCGCTGCGGCCGGCACGCCTTGCTGATCCGAAGGCAGGAGCCAGGTACTTATCCTGGTCTCCCTTGGGGTGCAGGGCCCAAGGACTTGGGCCATCCTCCACTGCACCCCCAGGCCACAGCAGAGAGCTGGCCTGGAAAAGGGGCGACAGGGACAGAATCCGGCGTCCCGACCAGGACTAGAACCCAGTGTGCCGGCGCCGCAAGGTGGAGGATTAGCCTAGTGAGCCGCGGCGCCGGCCTGAACGAATGCCTTTGTTTAGTGCTTGTCACACCCCAGGCGCATTGGCTGGTGCTATCTCTAACTTTCCAAACCATCCAGTGAAGACTCACGGGCTCTGAAGGTCGTGAGCGGAGCTGCACACCCAAGGCTCTCCCCAGTAGTTCAAGCTAAGGCAGCTTATCACATTATCCTCTTGACGTGAGTTTCTCTTGTTTTACAGTCCAGGAAACAAAGATTCGCGTAGGCCCAAGGACTTGCTAAGTTCACAGCCTTAGAACGAGCAGGGCCGGATGTCTCGTACCTGAGCCTCTAGATGCAGAGCTCTGAGCCAGGGCTCAGCCTGGAGCCCAAAGTGACCCCAAGACACCGACTGTCCCACCTAGGATGGGCAGAGTCTCCCAGGGTTAAGCAGACGCCGCAAATGCGAGTCCTGGGAGTGTCAGGCAGGAGCGGCGCTGATCCCACAGCCAGGGTTCTGAAGGCAGCACTGGGCCTGGGGAGCCAGCAGGGCGTTGTCCTCTGTTTCTGGAGACCAACTCTGAGGTCCTCAGTGCAAGGCTGGAGGCTGGAGCGTGGTGCTGGGCAGCGCCTGAGTTCACGCTGTCTTAGTCTGGCCAGGGAAAGATGTCTTTTTACAGGGAAAGGGCCTGTGCGTGGCTAAACTAGATAAGGTGGGCAACCTGGTCCGCACTGCTGAAGACAGGAGGCAGGTGACAGATGCCAGACAAGCCTAAGCCTGGTGAACTGGGATCCTGGTGAACTGGACAGGTGACACCAGGGATGTTGGTGCTGTGTCCAGGTGATGGACTTCAACACAGATGTGACGTGTGGTGCAGCGGTTAAGCTACCACATGGAGGTCCACATTCGATATTGAAGGACCTGGCTTAGAGTTCTGACCTGATTCAGACCCAGTTTCCTGCTAATGTACAATGGGGGGTGGGCAGCAGGTGATGGCTCAAGTATTACTCGCGTGGGAGACCAGAATGATGTCCTAGCTCCTGGCTTTGGGCTGGCCCAGTGCCAGGTGTTGCTGGCGTTTGTGGAGTGAACCAGAAAATAGGAGATCTCTGTCTGGCTCTCTGCCTTTCAAAGAGATTTTTTTAAAAAAATCTTAAAAAGAACTCAAAGGGGCTGGCACTGTGGCATAGTGGGTTAAGCCTTTGCCTGTGGCATCTGCATCCCAGGTGGGTGCCATTTTGTGTCCCAGCTGCTCCACTTCTGATCCAGCTCTCTGCTGTGGCCTGGGAAAGCAGCAGAAAATGGCCCAAGTCCTTGGGCCCCTGCATCCATGAGGGAGACCCAGAAGAAGCTCCTGGCTTCGGATTGGCTCAGCTCTGGCCGTTGTGGCCCTCTGGAGAGTAAACCAGTGGTGGAAGACCTCTCTCTCAGTCTCTCCCTCTCTGTCTGTAATTCTAGCTCTCAAATAAATAAATCTTAAAAAGAGAAAAAAAAAACTCAAAACAAGTAAACTTTATAGTAACATCCAGGCCAAAGCCATGGAATTAGTGACAAGACACTTATTTCTATTATCAAAATTTTCTGGAGAAATATATATGTGCTACAGCTACTGTCTTGATCGCAACGAGCTGTTTTTAAAATATTTCTTATAGAGTGAATGTAGTGGATACATTCCTGACCAACTACGCTCAAGGTTTATATAAGGATTTGGAGCAAAGGAGTTTGCGGCGACTGGCTTTCCTGGCCAGCAGCCGGCCTGCTCCCACAGCTCCCCGGTGGATAAATATTCCAGTCTCTTTGTAAGAGAGCAGCACAGAACGTTAGCAGATGTGAAGTTTTTGGCTGCTGATGGTACACACTGCCTACTCTGGGCCAGGTCCTGTCTCCCTGGAAAATTACTGAACAACACTCCAATGATAAAACAGATAGAGGCCGATACAGGCAGCCGAAGCCCCCCGCCCGTTGTCGCTGTGGGCCTCCGCTCCTAGCTGCGAGGGGGGGGAGAGGGAATGGCCGTGCTGAAATCCCGGATCCAGTTCCTTTGGGAAGGGGGGCGCGGGCAGCGCCGGCTGTCGCACAGAGCGGCCTCTGATGCTGGATCAACAGCAATCTCCTGACCCCACGGCCTTGCTAACCCTTGGCCTGCTTCCTATTCCTATCACGTCATCTGCATCACGGGTTACGCTCAGCTCCTGCTGCTGTTGGAGGTGGCTTGAGTTAGTTCCCCGTGACCTCTGTGAGCAGTGAAATCCGTAATCACACTGTGCAACAGAGATTAGGTGGTGCCAGCGCATTGCACGAGGCATTCTTGACACATGGTAATTTCATTCCATACAGTACAGAGGAAGAGCCGCGGAACGGGTTGGCTGGCACAAGGCTGTGTCAGAGCCACTCCAGGCCCGCCTGGTGCCTGCCTCAGCGGCGAATTTCCTGCCTGCCGCGTCATAGCTCCACCAGGGTCAACACATGAGTCACTACCAGCTCAAAGGGCAAAGCAGCCTCCGTGGGACGGTGCTGTCTGCGCCTCCAGTGGCTGGGCTTGCCCTCGCCGTCACGCACGTGAGGTAGAAACGTGATGTAAGGAAATCAACTGACAAAAGCCACATGCAGAAGCCAGTGTCGTCTTTTTTTTTTTTTTTTTTTTTAGCTCCAGTGTGGTTACAATGAGAGCTTCCTCTCCACATCTCGAGCTTGTGTACGTGGGGTGGGGGTGGGGGTGGGGGTGGGGGCAGACAGCCACTTGGTTCTGATGCTCATTGCTGCTTCTGCTTTGTGTGCTCGCCCCGGCGTTGTAGCAGTGGGCGGTTCTGACGGGAAAGCCAATGCACTCGGGCGGGATAAGGCTTTGGAAAGAGCTGAGTGCTCAGAACCGGGACGGGCATGGGCAATGTCGCCGGAGACCGTTTGCGACCCAGAGCTTCTCAGTGAGAGCTGACTTGCAACAGGGCAGCAATGGCATCAGAAATTGTCCCCAGCGCGCATGCCCGAAGCAAGTGGCATTTGCATTCTGCATTCATGGAGTTCTAAAAGGCAACCTGGAAATCTCAGTGTGTCATTTTCAGAAAGGGACCAAGAGGAGATGGATGAACCCCGACACTCGCTTTGCTTCCTTCCTCTGTCATAGAAATCCCACCTGCAGGACCTGGGGAAGAAGAAGCAGGAAGGCTCAGTGGTTGGTGCAGCACCCTAGAGGCAGAATGAGGCTCATTCTAGATTTGCCAGTAACCAACTGTGGCCCTTGGCCAGGTTTCTTAACCCGCAGCATTTTCCAGGCTGCCATTTGACACTACCGCATCTCAGTGTTTTGAGGAATTGCCAGTAAGACAGATTGTTGAGCTTGTGGGGAATGTAAGCTGTCAATCGGCGCAGGTTGGCCAGGTCCCTGGAATCAGGCAGGTGCACAGAGAGGGGATGACTCACGGAGCAGGAGGGGTTGCACCTGGGCGGGATGCCCACCTGGTGCTTCTGGGTGGGAAAACGGACTCGCCAGTTCCCTAGATCGTGGCTCCCAGCCTGGCCTGCGTCTGTGTCAACCATCTGAAGCCTCTGTGCCCCCTGCTGGTTTGTTGCATTGAATCAGATCTGCTTGGCCCTTTCTTGGGCTCTCCCTGGTGACACACTCTTGTTAACCTGCTCGAGGGCACAGGCATTTTTCCATTGTGATCTATCTGCCTTCTGTTGTCTGAGTTCCACAGAGAAGGTGTGCAGAGCTACCCAGAACTCTGTCATTCTTGGTCTTCTGGAAGCACCCATCAGCTTCCTTGACCAGAGGTGCCACGGTCCCGACTCAGTGAGGGCAGAGTGACCATCTACCACCCGTCATCACTACGCCGATGTCAGCTCCCTAAGGAAGCTAGGATCTGCATGGGGTGTGGGGACCAGAATGTGCCACCCCCAAATGCGCCTTCCTGGGGTAGGACTACTGAGCTGAAGGTCATTCAGAAGAAGCAGGAGGAGGAACGCTCTGCTCTCACTCCCTCTGCCGAAAGGGGAGCATAAACGTGCAAAGACAAAAGGCAGTCCCCACGCGCACGTGTCCCAGGCAGAACAGTGACCAAACACAGAAGGTGAATTTGTCGGGAAGGGTGGGCCTGGGGATGGCGCCAGGGGAAGTGACATCGGCTCCGTCTGCCTGAGGGGCGCCCCGGGGCCTCCAGTCCCCCTTCTTTCTCTCATCCCTGCCCTCTGTTGCCAGTGCCAGATAAGCTGCCATTCAGAGCAGCCTCTGAGCTACACCCTTGTCCCTGTGAAATACGCATGCGTGACAGTAAGTCCGTCTGTTTTCCTCTCGTCCATCTGTCTTCTGTCACAGGGGTGCAGGTCCAGCTCCAGACTTAGGAGAGCTCAGGGCCAAAGTATTTTCCATCCCCGGGAGCAGGCAGCCGGAAAGAGGCCAGAGAACATTTTTTTCTGTTTTTCACTTTTCCATCTGCTCCGGAAGGTCTGATGGGGTTGCTAGGATTTCTACCACCCCGTTTATAGAAGAAACATCCAGGAAGGCTGCAGCCTGGCCGACGGCAGGGAAGAGGTTTCTGGTTACAAATCGGGTCTGCCAGCCAGCAAGGGGACGCCCAAGCCTCGGCCCTGCCCTTTCCCTCCCAGCCACAGGAGCGGCTCTGGGCCGAGAGCTGCAGCCCCCACCCGTGCCCTCAGCTCTCTCTGCAGCTTCTCCCTGCCTTCGTTCTCCGGGGTGAGCGTCATACCAGGGCTCCTTTCCCCAGATTCCCTGGCTCCAATTTTCACTCTGATGGCCTCACACTTTTCCCAGACCGTGCATCTGCAGTGGAAACTGAGACCTGCACTCCGGAGCTATATTTAACCTGCCCAGATACACTCACTCTGGGCTCTCCTTCCCTGTCGTTGATCCCAAGGAGCTGGCGCTGCAGTTGATCCCAAGGAGCTTGGAGGTGCATCACCCTTCCCGTACCTGCTTCTGGGGGGACCCTGTTGACAACTGGGGAATAGCCAATCAGCTCTTGTTGACCTCTTTCCCCAGTAGAGAGATGGGGTCCAGGGCAGTTCAGGAGAAAGCCCCACCTAAGGCCAGGCAGTCCATACGCACGAGAACTTGCTACTGGGTCAGCCCTTTCATGCCCTGCATGCTTCTGTCTTGCAAAATTTCCTTTTCCGTTTAAACCTCTTTCTGCTCTGCAGGGCACAGTGCTAGAATAATAGGAAAATGGTGACTCATAACCAACTTGTGACTTTCTGTACTGCACACCCTATACGAGGCTTTCTGCCGATTGTTCCAAAGCACACATGACGTCTTGGCCACGTTCTTCTGCAAACACAGGAGACAGTGCGTCACGGCCGCTGGATACCTGCTGTTGTCCCAGGGGAGACGCGAGACGTGCCTCCCTGAGCACTGAAAGAAGGTGTCAGCCATGGCAGTGCAATAGACGAGCTACGTGGCACGTGGCCATGTGTGGGGGGCGGCCACGTGGCCATGTGGGGGGCGGCCACGAGGCCATGTGTGGGGGGGCGGCCATGTGGCCATGTGTGGGGGCGGCCCTGCCATTGCTGAAAATTGCCACGGAGCTTGATCAACACAAAGCAGCTGATTTCGGTGGTTTTCTTGTTATTTTCAATTCTCCGTAGACAGTGCGCACGGCTCGACTCCCCCTCTTGCTCCGCCCCCACCCCCTGCATCAGCAGCGTGACAAGTGATTCATCCGTCAGTGATTCAGGTTAACCATCGGACTTTTCAAAAATTATTTTTATTATGCTTTGTTCAAAAAAAAAAATCTCACTTCCCACTGCCTGGTGGCCAGATAGCGCCTTGCCCAGACTGGTTCTCCCCGGCGGCCCGTAGGCCGACATCAGCCAGGGAAGGGGAAGTGGGCGTGTGGGTACACCGAGGAGCCCTCCCTGCCAGGGGGAGTCTGCTGCCCCCTCCCCGCCCCTCCCCAGCACAGTGTGGGTGGCCAGGCCACCAGCTCATCCTGGGTTTCTTCCTGGCCTGAAATCCAGCCCTTGGTGTCAGGTCAGGAAACTGGAGCCCCCAATCCCCTGTGTCCTCAGTGGCTGGCCCTGCACTTGCACCCCTCCCTGCCCCTGGACGGACACGGGCACCCTGGAAGCTAAGAACGAACAGTGTCAACAGCCTGTGCTGTCCCTCTCCTGTGCTGGCATCACCAGACTGACTGGGGTGGGGGCTGATCTGGGTCAGACTCGAGTCCCCCGTGCTTTGTGATTTGGGTTGTGTACTCCTCGGGGGACAAAGTGAGGAGGGCAGCCCCTCCGCCCCACTTTCCGTGGCCTGATGGTAAATGGTGACAACCGGCTCTCTGGAGGCAAGAACCTGGAAACACCCCTCTGCCGCTTTCCACGGCGTCGGCGCCCACACGGGGGCCCAGCCTGCAGCTCTGCACAGGACGGCGCCGCAAGCGGAGCTGGGACGCGGGTAGCACAGGTGAGAGACGATTGCCTTCGATAGACACAATAGCTGCAAATAACCTCAACAGCATAGATAACGCTCAGGTGTGAGGATGAGGTTTCGTGTTTTTACTTTGGTTTTGTGTATAGGTTATAGGTTACTATCAACTAGTAGAGGCTGTGTTTAATGCTAAGTTTGCAAACTTCTAGGAACTTCTGTTCTTGTTTCCCTTGAGCCTGTGGGGCTGTAGCGGGGTGCAGCTCAGCCTGTAGCTGCCTGGCTTGTCCCCCTGGCTTCAAGCTAGGCTTCACCTTCCCCTGCCAGCACCCCGCCTGCAGGGTCTCAGAGCTCCCCCAGGCAGGGCCATGTGGCCGCTGAGCCCTTGGCTGTTCCATGCAATGGTGCGATTTCAGCCCTTGTTCCGTGTGGTGTCCCTGGGGCCTGGCCGTCCCCTCCTTTGGGACGCACTCTGCTCTGCCGCTGTTCTTTGTCACTGTCCCTTCTGCGGGCTCGTGGGCCCCTGCAGGCTCCTTCACCCTTGGAGTTCCCCAGGCCTGGGCCAGCATTGCCTGGGCCCTTCATTCTTCTTACTCAGAGAGAGATGCTTGCCAGAGCCACACCTGTGCCGCAGGTGCGTCCTGTGAATCCGGTCCTGCAGGTGCATCTGCCTGCTACGCGTCTTCATCTGTTCATCTCCCCAGCATCCTGTGCCTGCCCGGGGCCAACCCCTCCCAACTTGCTCCCAATGCATGGCCCTCGCCCATCTCTTACAGCATCATGCACCCCCTAAATATTTGTCGAGTTCCTCCTGTGTGCTGGTCACAGCACCTCGTGCTGACAGTGTGGCACTGAGTCAGCCATAGCCAAGCCCATTGTGGAGTTTCTTCAGAGGACATGATGTCACCGTAGGCCCGGTGACCGAAGCCAGGATTGTGGAGTTGCCTTGGACTCCCACCTGACTCACTTCGGCCGACGGCATTCTCCATGTGGGGGGAGTAATGACATTTCTGCCATCGGGCTTATGATGTTGCCGGCTTCCTGTGTCCCCCAGGGTCTCCCCTTAGCCTTCTGACAGTATCTGGGCTTGCTGGCATGGACCAAAGGACACCCAGAATCCCGACACATACCAAAATCCAGACGCTTGAGTCCTTTTATAAAACGATGTCTTATTTACATCTAACCTACACAATCTTAGGGAGACTTTACATCATCGCCACACTGTTTACCACGCCTAACAGTATTACATTGTTACAGTATTACATTATATTAGTATATTCCTAACAGTATATACATTGTTACACAGGGAATAATGACAAGAAATAAAGTCTGTGCATACTCAGTGCAGATGCAATTTTTTCCCTAATGCTTTCTTTCTTTTTTTTTTTTAAGATTTAATTCCATTTATTTGAAAGGCAGAGCGACAGAGGGTGAGAAGGAGAGAGAGAGAGAAAGAGATCTTCCATCCAGTGGTTCACTCCCCAAGTGGCCTCAACTGCCAGGGCTGGGCCAGGCCAAAGTCAGGGGCCAGCAGTTCTATCTGGGTCTCCCACATGAGATGCCGGGACCCACGCACGTGGGCCACCTTCTGCTGCTTTCCTAAAGCATCAGCAGGGAGCAGCTGGGACTTAGCTGGGGCTCCAAGACGGGATGCTGGCCCCAGAAAGTCTCCAGTGAGTGGTCTGGGGGGCGGACCCGAGGGTGTGGGGCCCGTGGACACAGAGGCCGACTGACGGCTGAGGATTCCAGGTGCTTCACGGTTCGGTTTTCTGGGCGCCCTTCCTCAGTGTGTTCACTGCTATGTTAATACTCCAGGTTTTTATTAGGGAAGCAGCATGTTATAAATAATGTTACAAATATAACATATATAGTATCACGATATATAAATAATATGTTACAAATATCACTTTATACTCGTGGAGAGGAGGAGTGTGAAAGATTTATGGCTATTCCAAAACACAGTGTGGTGATGAGCGACATGATGTAACACATGCGTTATGGCTGAAATCCAAGGGAAAGACTCCAAATTGGCTGGCGTGTCTGGATTTTCCCGAGGGCTTTAGGGTTTGCTGTCTAGCCCCCGCCCCCCCCAACTCCCCGCCCCACAACACAGCAGCGTAACTTCCCTCTGGAAGGGGGGTGCGGAATACAGGTTCCTTCCTCTTGCCGGCGCCCTCTGCTGGCAGGAACCAGATCTTTCCCCATGTGTTGGACTGTGTTGCCCCCTAGGGATCCGCCTCAGCATCTCCCTCCCAGGCCCGGTGGCCAAGAATTCACCTGCGGCCGGTGTCCTGTGTGAGGAGCTGCAGGGGACAACTGCTTCCAGCCCTCAAGTGCACATTCAAGGAGCAAGACACTGTGATCATCTTGGAAAAGCACACACCAGGGCTGACAATCGGCACTCTGCGCATGCACCAGGGTGGCGATGATCAAAGACAGGGGCTGCATGTGCAGAGCCTTGCAACCTGCAGGGGCCTGTGACACCCACTTTCTGATTTAGCTGCTTCAGTCACAGCCCTGAGGAAGTCAAAATTGGGTTGTGAGACCCAGAGTGACCGTCGTCAGATGCGACCGTTGGCAGCCGTGTTGGCGGTCGGCTGATGCTGTCTCGTCTCCAAGGTCAGCCTGAACAGAGTCTGGTTTCAAAGAGAAAAAAAAATCCCTTGAGTGTGGCTCGTCACTGTTATCTTTCCATTGCACCTGGGCATCGTTCCTCTGCCTCCCCCGAAATCTCTCGGTGGACGGAGGTGAGCACCGGGAGGCCCCCTCTCCCCCGGGCGGCTTTCTGGTTCTGACTGCCGCCACCGGCGTCCTGGAAATTACAAAGAGCACTTGCACATCCCGTGGTATGCTTCTTCCTGGGAACGCAAAGTCAACACCACTCCGAGGCCATGGCTGCTTTTCAAGCTGAAGTCGGTGACGTTGTCCCGCTGTCATCCGAGTGAGCGAAATCAAACCGTGGGAAAGGTGCTTCTCTTCCTCTCATCTTTGAGGAAAAAAAAAAAGGCCGCCATGCACCCTCTCTCGGGGCGGGGATGGGGTGGGGGTTGGGCTGCCACCCAGCCATGCAGGCTGAGGTGTCTACACGCCGGAGCTAGAATTTTCTACTGCAGCTGGGTAGGGAGCAGTGACTCCCACTCAGGAACGCCACGCGGCCAGGGAGGAGAGGCAGCTCATAGAGCCTTTCGCCTTGGACTTGGTGCGACCTTCTGCTTTTCCGGAGAGAAGCCCCTCACCCAGGACCCCCAGCAGGCCTCTCCGCTTCTGGCTCAGGGCCTTTTGTGATAAAACAAAAACATAAAGAGATGCGGTTATGCCATACTCCGAGTCCACAGGGCAGGGTGTACCTGTTACACGCCAAGGTACTTCGCAAAGCTCGTGGGAAAATGGAATTAAAAGATAAGTTTCTTTATGTGCAGAAGTTTTGATAGCCATCCATTTTTTTTAAAGATTATAAGATTTATTTATTTGAGAAGCAGAGTTACAGACAGACAGAAGACAACAGCAGAGATCTTCCAACTGCTGGTTCTCTCCCCAAGTAGCCGCAATGGCCAGAGCTGGGCTGAGCCAAAGCCAGGAGCCAGGAGCTTCTTCCGGTCTCCCACGCAGGTGCAGGGGCCCAAGCACTTGGGCATCTTCTGCTGCTTGCCCAGGTCCTTATCAGGGTGTTGGATCAGAAGTGGAGCAGTTGGGACTGGAATCGGTGCTCATATGGGCTGCCAGCACTGTGGGCGGAGCCTTAATCTGCTAACACCACAGTGCTGGGCCCTCCGTCCGTTCCGTAGCCCCCATTGTCTGTGAACTTTCTGCAGGCGTGGGTTTCAAGAATAAAAACCAAAAAAGCGCTGTACAGCATAAGGAACTTATCTTTTGATTGCATCTTCCCGTGAACCTTCTGGAGTCCTCCTTCCGCTTGGGTGAGATACGGGCCTGTGGGGAATGCTCAAGCCCAGGAGCCCTCGCTCGCACACATGCGCAGGGGCTGGGGCTCTCCCTGGGAGTGACTCTGCACCCCGCCTGGCGGTGATTCTCAGGACGGCTGGGCAGTGGCTGTCAGAGTAACGTCAACTCCCAGCAGTTTGCTCTTAGCCAACATTAAAATCCTCCGACGGGATCAGGACCTTTCGCCCTTACTTGCAAGTTTGTCTTCTCCAGGTGCTGGGCTGGGAGTCACTGCCTCCACCTGCTCTTTGAGGCTGGGGAGGGAGGGGGAAAGGGCAGGGCGGGTCGGGGGGGTTCAGAAGCAGCCTCTCATTCCCCTGAGACTGCTCTTTGCAGAAATGGGTTTGCCTCCGGAAACAGCATCTTGGAAGCTGCAAGCCGAGAGCAGTGAGGCCAGTGGGGACGGGCGACCTTGGGCAGTGGCGGGGTGGCCGGGAGCCCCCTTGGAAGATGGGGGAGGTCCTGTCCCAGGCATGTCTGGTGGCCTTGTGTTGCAGTCTGTGGAGGCACGAGCCTCTAACACGCATCTCGTATGCTGGTGACCATCTCCAGTGGCTGCCTGGTCCACTGTCGCTGCACCCTTGTTCCAACCGCAGCCACACGGGGTCAAGGGCGCGCCCTCACTCTGAGACTTTGCTATGGGAACTCAGAAGCACAAAGTAGAGCTCTGATGTGTTTGTGTCTACTCTTCTTTCTTTCCTTCTTTTTTAGGATTTATTTATTTATTTGAGAGGAAGAGTTACAGTCAGAGAGAGAAGTCTTCCGTCTGCTGGCTCACTTCCCAGATGGCTGCAATGGCCGGAGCTGGGCAGATCTGAAGCCAGGAGCCTCTTCTGGGTCTCCCACACGGGTGCAGGGGCCTGAGCACTTGGACCATCTTCCATTGCCTTCCTAGGCCATCAGCAGAGAGCTGGATCGGAAGTGAAGTGGAACAGCTGGGACTGGAACCGGAACCCACATGGGATCCACAGGCAGAGGCTTAGCCTACTGTGCCATAGTGTCCGTCCCTCTCCCTCGCTTCTACTTTATAACATGCATGCACAATTGCTTAATACGTGGATGATGTAGGTAGAGACCCAGGTGCAGGGAAGCACTCTGATATCTTAGAATAGGAGGTGCGCCATCAACGCAGACCCTGTCGGCTGAGCTGTCACCCCGACTGCTTCCTTGCCAGAAGGGCTCTGCTTTTGTCCTGCTGTGCGCTCTCTAAGCTTCCCATCTCCTGCCCAAGATGGAGAGAGTCCACGCCGCTGAGCAGTGCTGGCAGCCCTGGTGGCCGGCTCAGGAGTGAGCAGCTGACCCTGTTCTGGCCACTGAGACTTTGTGGGACATCTGAAGAGGTTTCCAGTTCCTCCAAAAACAAACCAGAGAGAGAAGAGAGGCTCTCTCATTCTCCTTTGGAAGTTATGGCCGTTCCTACTCTTGGGACATGGCAGCCACTTTGTGACGATGAAGTGAATGAGTCAGGCAAAACTGAGGTAGACAACAACTGATGATAGAACAAAGACGTGAGGACAGCTTGACCCTTGGTCTCTGGGACTGGCTGAAGAGTTAACCAAGCTGAAGCTCTGAGCTCATTTTCGTGGGAGGCTCACCTCCTTGTAGAGCTCACATGCCGTTAAATCTGGAAGCATCCTGAACAGGAGTCGGTCTATTCACAGACCGCTGGCCCGCGTCCCTGCGTATCGGTTCTCTTTTCTGTTTCCATTTAAAGCATTGTTGCAGGAAGTGCACAGTGCAGAGTGAACTGCAGGTACCTGCTGTCTGCCGGTCTCTACAGTTTACTCACGTCTCCTAACTGAGACTGGACACCCAGTGCCTTGGACAAGTCCTCGCCGCCCCAGCCACCACCCTCTGCTCTCTGTCTCTGTGGATGTGACCGCTGTGTGTCACATGCGGTGTCTGCCCTCCTGTGACCAGCGTATTCCATGGGTAGTGAAATAACGCCTGGACTTTCACTTCTTCCAGGATTTCCTTCTTTTGAAGGCTGAATAATATTCCATGATATGTGTAGACTGCATTTTCTTTATTCCTTGGATAGTTAGGTTGTTCCCACAGCCCAGCTAGTACGGACAGTGCTGCCATGATCCCAAGAGTGCTAGTACTTATTGGAGATCCTGCTTTCAGTTCCTGGGGACAGTCACCACATTGCTAAGTGAGATGGTGATTCTGTTTGTGCTGCCTTTGAAGAACTTAATGTAATTTTCCATACTGGCTGTGCCATTTTGCATTGCCGTCAATAACATACAAGGGTTCTAATTGCTCCACGTGCTCTACAATGCTTATCATCATTATTATTTTTTAAAAACATCCCAGCAGGTATAGAATGATATTTCCTTGTGGTTTGGATTTGCGTCTCCCTGCTAAGTTAAGCATCTTTTTTGTATACCTATTGACCATTTGTATGCCTGCCTTGGAGAATGTTAATTCAAGTCCACTGTCCATTTTTATAGCGGGCCATTAGGGATTTTTTTTTCCTGTTGAGTTGCAGGAGTCCCTTACGTATTTTGATAATTAACCCTTTATCAGAAATATGGTTTGCAATGTTGCTGCCCGTTCTGTAGGCTGTCTTTTCACTCTGCTGATTGTTTCTTTTTCTGAAAGAAGCGTTTCAGTTGAGGTAGTGCCCCTGGCCTATTTTTGCCATATCTATAAACTCAATGCCAAGACCAACGTCATAAAACTTTCCTCTTAAGTTTTCTTCAAGTTTTAAAGTTTCAAGTTTTTTTAATAGAAAACTTTTATTTAATAAATATAAATTTCAAAAGTACAGCTTTTGGATCATGCCAGTTCTTCCCCCTATAACCACCCTCCCACCCGCAAACCATCCCATCTCCTACTCCCTCTCCCATCCCATTCTTCATTAAGATTCATTTTTAATTATCATAGACAGAAGACCAACTCTATACTAAGTAAAGATTGCAACAGTTTGCACCCACACAGACACACAAAGTATAAAGTACTGTTTTAAGATTAGTTTCGTCATTAATTCTCATAGTACAACACATTAAAGACAGAGGTCCTACATGGGGAGCAAGTGTACAGTGACTCCTGTTGTTGATTTAACAATTGACAATCTTATTTATGATGTCAGTGATCACCTGAGGCTCTTGTCATGAGTTGTCAAGGCTATGGAAGCCTCTTGAGTTCACAAACTCCGACCTTACTTAGACAAGGCCATAATCAAAGTGGAAGTTCTCTCCTCCCTTCAGAGAAAGGTACCTCCTTCTTTGATGGCCCCTTCTTTCCACCGGGATCTCACTCACAGAGATCTTTCATTTAGGTCATTTTTTTTTTTTTTTTTGCCACAGTGCCTTGGCTTTCCATGCCTGAAATGCTCTCATGGGCTCTTCAGCCAGAACCAAATGCCTTAAGGGCTGATTCTGAGGCCAGAGTGCTGTCTAGGACATCTGTCATTCTATGAGTCTGCTGTGTATCCCACTTCCCATGTTGGGCTGTTCTTTCCTTTTTGATTCTATCAATTATTATTAGCAGACACTGGTCTTGTTTATGTGATCCCTTTGACTAAAGTTTCAAGTTTTACACTTAAGTCTTTAACCCACTTTGAGCTGATTTTTGCATATGTAAGATAAGGGTTGTATTTGATTCTTTCCCATATGGATATACAGTTTTATGAACACCATTTGTTGAAGAGACTTCCCTTTTCCTATTGGGTGATCTTGGCATGATCATTGCAGACCAGTTGACTATATGTGTACGGGTTTATTTCTGGGCTCTCTATTCTGTTCCACTGGCCCATATATCTGTCTTTATGCCAGTATTATATTAGTTTAATTATTGAAGTTCTGTAATATATTTAGAAATTCGAAGTGTGATATCTCCAGCTTTATTCTTCTTTCTCAAGTTTGCTTTGGCTATTTGAATTCTTTTGTGTTTCCACATGAATTTTAGGATTTTTCCTTCTTTCTGTAGAAATTGTCACTGGAATTTTGATAGGAATTATATTGAGTTTGTAGATTTTTGTGGGGCAGTGTGTCTACTTTAACAATATTAGCACTTTCAATCCATGCACACAAGATATTTTTTCATTTATTTG